TTGAACCAAGGTCCTCCAACTCGAGATCAGCAGTGTTTCAGTTGTACCTCACCACCTCTCTTCTAATTATAATTCGGGAGGTAGAATGATGGAGTAGAAGGAGTTTCCAGTGTTGGCAAAGGACTGATAATTTCAGATATTAATATACTGCATTTTAACAGATGCACTAAATAAAATAATCCTTGTTACAAAATACAGTAAATTTCAGAACATTGAAAATGCATTGGAATCTCAACTCAACACTACTAATTCATAATAGAGGGGTTATTTTTTAACCAGTCCAAAGAATGTTAAAAGCCAAAAATAATTACAATAATAATAGTGGTAAGAGATTAGCATTTATACAGCATTTAGAAGTTTACAAAATGCTTCATATATATTATCTCATTTCATTCTCACAAGAACCCTGTAAGGTAGGTGCTATTATTATCCTCATTTAGCAGATGAGGAAACTGAGGCCAATACAGGTTAAGTGACTTGTCCAGGGACATACAGATACTAAGTATCTGATGCAAAATCTCAGGTCTCCCTGAGTCCAGGTCCAGTATTCGATCCACTCTGCCACTCAGTTGCCTAAATAATCCCATTGTAAGACAAGCTGACCTATAAAGGCAGAACGCTTGAAGATAGCCTTACATGTAATAAACAGCCTCACATAATAAAGCCCCTGCGTAATACATACTATGTAAATGTCCCAAGCCTGTTTTATTTACTGGAGCCAATATTTCATTTTAGAAGAGAATATATGAAATTTGAAAACATGTACTACTGTTCCTGCCATTATTATTCTATCTCTTTTTAATAATAAACATTTACAAAAACAATCTGATCCACTAAAAAGGTTGGATATATGCGTAACATATTGCATGGTCACTGATAGTTTTTGTAAAAGAGTGACTACATAGCCAACAACCAAGCAGGAAGGCTCAATATTTGGTCTCTCAAAGTTGGTAGAAAATAAAATTAATAATTAACATTGTTAAGTGAAAAATTTGGCACCAAACTAAATTATGGATGAAAGAGTAACATACGGCCGCTGGAAAAGTTTGCTTCTATTCTCATTTCATATGAATGCTAATAAGAATGACGGTACTTTTATTTACTGAATAATAGGCTCTGAAATCCACACAAGTTAGAATTGTATTATCTTAATCCAACTGCAAACACCATACAAACAAACATCTTCCTTTATTTTTTCTGTAGCTCAAAAGGCATAAATCAGCTTCTGTAGAAAGGAAAAGTTTCCAGTATAAAATTACCAATAAAAAGAATTAAATTCACAACAGAAAAACATTCTTTAACTTTAGAAACTGCTTTTTAATACACTCACTGAATCTCTTTCCTTTTTATGATCCCTCATATCCTGGAACCAGCAATAGCATCTCAAATGAATTCATAGTAAGAGAGGCTTGATTTCATATCATCAACTTAAGGAATTTACATAGGTCCCTCCTTCCCCCATTACTTTCAGTCAAAAGAGAATTGGAAAAGGAATATTGCCAGCACCAGGCACCCTCAGCTTTAATCTAACTTTGAGATAATCACTCCTGTTCACTAAAGAATACTGAAGAAATTAATCACTGGTCAAGTTTTCCTATCCATCTTTCCTTAATTTATGAAAGTCTCCTTAAGGTAATTCATTTGTGGGCCCTTGGGAACCTATCCCAGCTCTGAGGGTTTCCACATCTTTCCTTCAAGAATCCAGGGTGAAGGGGAAGAATAAGGATCCTTTATGCAAATGCTCTCTCTGAATCACACTTTGGATTGACAAAAGGATGATTTTTAGTTTTATTTATGTCATGGATTGTTTTCACAGTCTGTTGAAGGTTTGGACCTTTTTATTAAAATAATGTTTTTAAAAGTATAAAATAAAAGACAGAGGATTTACAAAGGAAACCATTATACTAAAATACAATGAACAAAATACTAAAAATACAGATTCACAGACCCCCCAGTTAAGGTGGAGCACTCCTCCCAAGCCTCTCGGGATCCTCCTTTGGGTATTTGCAGATGTATGAAGACAGCTTCAAAGTCCACTTCTTCTTTTCTCTATCCTTGGAGGAAGATATACAAGGAACCCAGAAGGAAGGAAAAGAAAGATCTCCCAAACAATGAATACCTCTCATTCTGTTACTCTATTGTTTCTTAATGAGTATCATTCCAACCAAATAAAGATCATCCATGAGAAAATTAAAGTTCATTTCTTCTGCATTTCAATTCTTAAGTTCTACTACATTCCTATTACCCTGGAGGAATAATTCACATTATTCTCAGTCCAGAAGGCTACGAAATTTGATGGGACATCAAAGGAACAAAAAGTACGTAAGAAGGGATTCTGACAGGACGGGAACAGAACAACAGCTGCTATTGACTTCTTTGACTTCCTTTAAGTCTCAGCTAAAATCATATCTTTTACAGGAAGTCTTTCTCAACCTCTCTTAATTCAAATGTCTTCCCTCTGTTAATGATTTCCTACTTATCTGGTATATCACTAGTCTGTATATATTTGTTTGTTGTTTCCCCCATTAGATTGTGAGCTCCTTGAAGGCAAGGGCTGTTTTTGCCTCCTTTTACATCCCCAGTCTTTAGGACAGTACCTAGCACATAGTAGCAATTTAATTCAGCACTTACTAAATGTGTATTGACTGACTGCATGTGGAATGGAACTTGTTCTTTCAATGATGTAAACTTTTTATCTTGTACCCTCAGACACAAACTGATTTGTATAAAGATATAAAAGTGATTAGAAAATGCAACATAGGAACTTATCTTTGGGATAATTTACTTCAAGGAAAAATAGGAGATCAGCAAGAAATACAAGGGCAAGGATGTGCCGGCCGCGCCGTGCACTCTCCTCCTATAAGGAGCAGGCTGCCAGAGTCATACTTACCAGTCTTCGGTCCTCAACCGGACAAACACAGAGACGAGCCTACCAGGAGGTGCCAACACCAGAGCTTTATTCAGAGGCCATCACAGCAAGGCCAAGCAGGAAGGCCAGAGCAACAGAGCAGGAGCAAAGAGAGCATGTGATCTGACCACGATTGTTCCTTAAGTACCTACTTAGCCCCTCCTCCTCAGCCTGCCTACTAGTCAATGAATGTAGGGTCAGATACCGGAAGGGGCTGTCTGAGTTTAGCGCACCAAGGGAGAGGAAGTGACGCAGGAGGCTAGGACCAGATACAGGAAGGAGGCGTCTGGGATTAGTGCATAGACAAAGAGTACGAGCCCTAGGAAGTCAGGCCCAGACACCGGGAGGAGGCGTCTGGGGTCAGTGCTACACAAAGGGAAGGTACATGACCCAGGAAGTCAGGAAGGACACAGGAAGGAGGCGTCTGGGGTTGACGTTGCATATAGGGAGGGGACTAAGCAAAGGGAACTCGTCCTCTGCCGTCCCACTCCCACGTAGCACAGCCCCCTGCCTCAGGAGCACGTGCTCTGGCTACTTCCTTGTATCCTGATCCTTCCCCAGCTTATCTCACATAGCACTGCCCACTGCCTCAGGGCTTCTCCGTATCCAGCCCATCCCAGTTCACCACAACTCTGCCTACCACAGCCCCTGCCTCGACTTCCAGATACCCAGATCCTACCCCAATCTTGCCACAACCCGCACCTGGCAGCAGCCAACGTCAGACAGTCCCTCACACAAGGAGACGAGTTCCTGTTGAGTCTTCTTCTCTATTAGGCTTACTCTCTATAAATTTGGACTCACTTTTTCCCTCAGTAGAAATCTGGTTTGGTACCAAGTTAGCAGATTAAAATTGCAGACTATAGCAAAGACATTGTTTATAGATTATGCACAGCAGTTCAATTCCAAAACAGTTGGAAGAATCAGGATACCACAAGCAAGAAACTTAACAAAACTTAAGAAATCACATTTATGTAAGAGAAACAAAAACAGCTGTCAAATTTAAAAGATAGTTTTCTTGACAGAACTACTTACAACATGATACATAGAAGAGACAAATGTCTTAAATGCCAGGCGGATGTTAACCAGGTGTATATTGGCTACTGGCACCAGGCTGTTATTGAAGGGTTTAGCGTAATATCAGGGCAGTTGGGAGACAAGAGGGAAAGGGAGGCTAGATGAGGCAGATGCTAGATGCAGATCAATCCCGTGGTAGCAGGTTAATTTAAGTGGCCTCAACGTTTTCCTGGATAGAAACCATTACTGGATTAATGTTGAGACCAAATTAATTAGAGTCATATATAACTAACATATTCTTAAGGTAGAAAATACGCACTTTCAGAAATCACTGTTTTATACCAGAGTGTATATACTCTAATCCTAGCTTTCTTCACTTAAGATTTCTCAAATCTTAGTGGGAAACACCAAATTGTTCATCTGTCTCAAAGGCTATCAGCCTAAAGGTTAAAGAATATTTCTATCAATGACCACTGGTAGGGAAAGTATCTAAAATAATGGAGTGGAATTCTATTTCAAACCCATCAGTAACAGGATTTCAGTTGGAAATAAACTAAACTATTGGAAATGATAAAAAGAAAAATACTTGAAATCATCACTAAGAATGTTAGAGTTTTTTAGCCCCAAGTTTAATAAACATAATATACAATGCAAAAGGTAAGTATTATTTTAATCCTTTTATATTTAATTTAAACTCTTTCAATGCGGTGAATAATAATAAAAATAGTTCAGAAATCTGCATGAACAAAGGTAGCTTCCTCATCTGTAAAATTAAAGATGACCTCTACGATGACCTTTGAGCTCTAGATCCATGATCCTATGATTACACAGGAAAAGGGCTAAGTCATTAAGAATGGGGTAAATCTCCCAAAAAGTGCCAACAATTACTTCCCTTCATTGATTCAAAGGCACAGAAAGTTTTGAATTGAGTTGAATAAGACAACTGTTTCAGAGAATAAAGTGTTACACTTCTACAAGTAAAGTTTAGTAGTGACATTGGGCTTAGAAACATTAAAGTATATGTGAGTACAAGTGAAACGAGAAAAGAAAATTAAAGAAAAGAAACAAAAATACTCACCCTCCTCTGGACTTACTGCTGCAGGCAGACTGCTCCAATCAAGGGTCCAGGTGGGGCAGGGATGGGGAGAAAGTTTTGCCTCAATGCCCTTTTTCTAGAAAGTGAAAGATGTCCTTTCTACATCAATATACTAAAGTATCTGTATATCCTATATATTCAACTGAGGAATACCTACATTAATAAAAGGCAGCACAAACAGTCCAAGAAAACAGGTAATTTAAAGATCACTTATAAGATGATTGATGAGAACATGGTATTTTTTTCCTACAGCATTTACCTTCCTAATTATGTTTTGCTTAGACTAATAGTAAAATAAGTATACGTTTTCTGACCATGCAGTGATGGTAGGAACATTCTACCTAAAAACATGCTTAGTAGCAGGGTGAAACCAAGACTAAGATGAAAACTTTCGGGAGAAAATCTATTAAAAACTGACTCTGTATATCTACCTAGGCTTTGCACATTGGCAACACAAGAGGACAACCTAAGGAGGACTTGACAATGTCCCAGGAAAAGTCTCTGCCCCCAAAGTATCTCCCCCACTACCCCGCCTTCAATTTAACAATAAGATATATTATTTTGATTTAAGGCCTAATAGAGCATATAGGAATCACCAGCTAAAATATAAATATCCCTGGGAAAAGTAAACATTGACAGACATTTACACCTTAGTGTGAATTAGGCTGTGGGTTTGATTTCCTGCAAACATTAAGACTAGATGAATAAGGTTTCATCCTGAAGCCATCCTGAATGGCAGGCAGGGTTGGGGTAGGGGGGCACCCAAATGGAGTTAGAGACTAGAAGTGGAGAGACAGATTTAAAGTATGAAAGGTCAGGTGCAATGCTACAATGAAGGCCTCTTGGTAATCAATGGACATGGGAGCACTAAGAAACTAAAAGGGAAGGAGAGCCAAAAAGAGCTATAGGGGCCCACAAGGAGAGAAGGCCCAAATTCATCTTTTCTTAATCAATGGGTGGTACAAATTCATGACCGCAGAGATAAGATATCCATGTGTGTGTGTGTGTGTGTGTGTGTGTGTGTGTGTGTGTGTGTGTGTGTGTGTGTGTGTGTACATGCATATATATGCACACAATATTTTTCAACTTTTAAAATCTAAACAGTTCTAATATTGACCTGACATTTAAAAATTAACTAAAATATTCAGTAAGAAAAATAATTTCACACAATCTAACAAAGTAGCTCTGTTGCAAAGTTAAATCATTTTTATACCTGACCATATTTTTTAAAAGAAAATTGAGGACCTATACTAAAAACAAATACATAGTCAAACAGTGACCCAGAATAATAAAAATTTAGTGCTTCTGAGAATATCTAGTGTGATAAAAAGAATGGGCTTAGACATAGCACCCAAATCTCATGACTGCTCATCATTCCAGTGATCTTGTCTCTTTCATCATTATAAAAACAGCCATCACTTAAATGAAGGAAATGAAAGGTTCCCTTCTCACTTTGACAAAATTTTACTTTTATTTTAAATATTATATAATTCACTGACTGTTGCCAAAGTTTGTTTTTATTTATTGCCTTTTCTCTATTTATAAATTAATTTTATGCATAGAAAAACCTAAGCTTCTTTTTGGGTTTATTACAGTTCTCTTGTATTCAACTGGCAAGCACAATAAAGCCAAAGCAAAATTCTACAGCTTTCTACTGGTCCTTGCCTCAGAATGAATCACCTAAATAAAAACGATCCCATTTAGCAATTAATAGCCACAGAAGAACATAAACTTTATTGTGCAGAGATCTGAAGATGATTGTCTAACACTAACCAAATAACTTTGCTGAGAATGAACTATTTTCAAATTCCCCAGGAGAATAGCCTGCAGATTAAAAAAAGGCAATATTGACATTCCAGGATATTCTCTAATCAATAGGACAATATGAAGGCAAATCAAACTTAAGACATTCCTTTTACGGTGTCTTCCAAAATTGATTTTTTAATCACTAAACATGGTTTTCACTAATGAACAAGCTGAACAGAGCATAAAAGGCCTAGCTGCAGGGAGCTGGTGATGCCGTCAATTTAGGGGCATCAGCCCCTCTCCCAGCCCCCTCTAGTAGATACAGTTATCCTTTAGCTTCATTTTTATCATGAGACTCAGACTGATGATACCAAATTGCTTCAGAGAACATCCACAATTCAAATAAATCCTCAACTAATTTTCAAATCAACAGAAAAATATTTTTTTTTCTGCACTCTTTGCATGGTAACAAAAATGAAAGCAAATTTGTGAAACCTTCAGTCTTTGTAATGGGGAAAATTGATTCAGCTGTATGGGAAGTGGGAAGAACTCTGGCATTGCAATGACCGACTTGGTCTCAACTCTGAGCTCTGCCACTGACTGCCTGTATGCCCTCACTGGGTCTGTTTCCTCATCTGAAAAATGAGGGGAGTCTAGCTAGATGGCCTTTAAGGTCCCTTTCCAACTTCAGATCTACAATCTTATACAATAATAAATGAAGTTAAGTGAACACTTGTGATGAATGTACCACGAAAACAATTTACTGAAACAAAACTTTTTAAAAAATTCGAACACTATTGAATTCTTTTAAAGAAAAAAAAACCTAGCAGAAACCTTGAAAACTGAGCCCATTCACTGCCCATTACTGGGTTTTCAGAGGACTGCTGACCATTAGTCAATCAACAAGCATTTACTAAATGCTTACTCAATGCCAAGCACTGTCCTAAGTGCTGGGGACACAAAGAAAAGCAAAATCTGTCCCCACAATTGAGGCACCCACATTCTAATGCCACAAAAACAATTAAAGCCAGAGTCTTGCAACACGACATTTTCAGATGAAAACAATACAGCTAATCGAGTGGACTAGCTATTGAATTACCAGGTTAAATATTCAGAATAGTAGATAGGAATGCAACGGAAGAAAGGAAGGAAAGGAATGGGAAGAAAGGAAGGAATAACAGAAAATAGGAAAAGAAAGGAAGGAATGAAGAAGGATATATGTAATATATATATAAATATATATATAATATAAATATATAAAAATACATGATATATATTATATTATTATATATTATATGTAATATATATTATATACACAATATATACAATATATAATATAATATATAAAATATATGTATAAATATATAACATATAAATATATAATATATGCAATATATAAATATATAATATAAAATACTTTTATAAATTTAAGAAATACAAAAATTCAATGAAAAGAAAAAAAAAACAATAATCTAAAAATTAGTAAAAAGTCTCCAAGATAAAAATTGTAACTGATAATAAGAGTGATGCCAACAAAAGATGGGGGGAGGCCAAATGTTCACAAAGAGAATGCAGGCATTTTCAAAGCAACCTTAGCATAAGCATTTAATTACCATTAGTTTGGAAATGGTTGGCCTTGGTCCTCCTATAAAATGCATGCAGTTTTTCTCCTCCATTTCAGGACTCTCCCTCAAAATTGGTGGCTGCTTTTCCAAGGTGGGCAGGAGGTCTGACAACTGAAGAAATTGCACCCTGCATTTAGCTGCAGCTCTTTGTACTCCAGGCACTTCCTGAATCTTCTGGTACCAGGAAGCTATCAGAGGTAAATGTGCGAGAATTCCACAGCGCTTCTTGCAGATGTGAGCCTTATGGGAAAAGGAGTAACACTCAGTGTCATTTCCCGGACATGTATTATTTAGTACAACAAAATTAGGGCAATTCCTACTATTGGTCATCCCACCGGTCCTATTTCTTCATCTGTAAAATGAGGGGGGGTGAACTAAATGATCTCAAAGTTTTAACTTCAAACCCTAAATCTGTAATCATAATGATCATTGGTATGCTACGAGAAATCCTATTTTGAGGGGATTAACATAATATCCCTAAAAATTATCTGTTAAAACTGGAAATAAAAACTTCTGAAACATTGTTTTTTAGAAAACTAATGTTTAAAGTGAAATGGGGAAAAAAAACTAAAGGATTTTTTTAAAGGAACATTTTGGTATAGGTTTCATTTAATGAACTTTATCTCATAATTTACCCTCAGTGAGGAGCAGAGCCAAGATAGCAGAGTACAGGCAGTAACCCAAGTGAATTCTCCCAACATTCCCCTCCAGACAACTTTAAAATAATGTCTCAAAGCCAATTCTACAGTGGCAGAGACAGCAAAAGGTGAGAACGAGGCATTTTCCAGCCCAAGAAAACTTAGGAGGTCTGCGGCACTCGGGGAGAAGCTGGCCTGGAGCACAGCTGTACACCAGCAGCAGGCCTCGACGGAGCTGAGACAGCTCCAGCAGCAGCAGCTTCATGAGCCTTCAGCTCAGAGACAGCAACGGGGCAAGAAAGAGATGACAGCGGGGACACGCTGGCATTGCCTGTGGGCCTCTGCTGCACTGCGCACATGCAGTTCCAGGTGGCAGTTTCCAAAGAGAAGAAGAGAACGAGTGCCTGCTGCTGGGGGAGAGAAGGGGCCCTGGTTCCAAGGCAGAGAGAAGTACCAGGGCCCGAGGCTGCAGGAGAGCAGGGCCCTGGCCACAGTTCCATGGGCCAAAAGGAACACTAGCACTTGTGACTGCAGGGGAATAGGGGGCCTTCCTGGGTGAAGACCACAGTGCAGACCACACCTCTCCTCAGATCATATCACCTTGGAAGCACCCAAAAGTTAAAGACTGCTCCCCCCACCCCGAACCGGCTCCGTAAATGGCAGCACAAAAAATCTGAAGCTTGGGACAGTATTCTTCTCCTGGGATCAGAGCCCAACTTTAACATAAAAGTAAAAGTAAAGAAATAGTCATAAAAAATGAGCAAACAACAAAATCTGACCATAAAAAGCTACTATAGGGACAAAGTTCAAAACACAAACTCAGAAAAAGACAATAATGCCAAAACAGCTACAAGCCAAGCTTCAAAGAAAAATGTGAATTAAACACACACGCACACACACACACACGTTCAACAAGAATTCCTGGAAGAGCTGAAAAAAAGATTTAAAAAATCAAAAAAGAAAAGTAGAAGAAAAATTATGAAAAGAAATGATATTGATACAAGAAAATTATGAAAAGCAAACCAACAGATTGGTAAAAGAGGTACAAAAATACTGAAGAGCCCCTTAAAAAGCAGAACTGGTCAAATGGTTTTAAAAAAAAAAGATGAAAATTTATTGAAGAGAAGAACTCCTTAAAAAACAGAATTGGTCAAATGGAAAAAGAAGCACAAAAGAGCACCAAAGAAAATAATTCCTTAAAAATCAGAATTGGGTAAGTGGAAGCTAATGATTCCATGAGACATCAAGAAACAATCAAAAAAAGTCAAAAGAATGAAAAAATAGAAAAAAATGTGAAATATCTCATTGGAAAAACAACTGACTTGGAAAACAGATTAAAGAGAGATAATTTAAGAATTTTTGAACTATCTGAAAGCCATGGCACCTCGGCATCATATTTCACGAAATTATCAAGTTAAACTGCTCTGATAGTCCAGAAACCGAGGGTAAAATAGAAAACAAAAGAATCTACCAATCACCCCCTGAAAGAAATCCTAAAATGGAAACTCACAGGAATATGAGAGTCAAATTCCAGATCTCTCACGTAAAGATGAAAATATTGCAAGCAGTCAGAAAGAAACATTTCAGATACTGTGGAGCCACAGTCAGGATAACACAAAATTTATCAGATTCTACATTAAAGGATGTGAGGGCTTGGAATATGATATTCCAGAGGGCAAAGGAGCTAAGATTATAACCAAGAATCACCTACCTAGAAAAAATGAGTATAAACCTTCAGGGGGAAATGAATATTTAATGAAATAGAGGACTTTCAAACATTCCTGATGTGAGGACCAGAGTGGAATAGAAAACTTGACATCCAAACACAAGCCTGAAGAGAAGTGTAAAGAGGTAAACATGAAAGAGAATTCAAAAGGGAATTACTATGGTTAAACTCTTTAAATTCCTATATGGGAAGACGATGCATGAAACTACTAAAACCTTTCTCATTATGAGGGCAGTTAGGAGTATACATAGACAGAGGGGAGAGGTGTGAACTGATTGTGATGGGATGATATAAAGAGAAAAATGGATGAGTAAGACAAATGGATGCACGAGGAGAACGGAGAGGAAGAATCGAGAAAATTATTACACAAAGACGAGATAAACAAGAAACCACTTTTATAATGGAGGCAAAAATAGGGGTGGGGGTGACAGGCAACACTTGAACCTAATTCTCATCGGAATTGGTTCAAAGAGGGAATACCATGCATACTCAATTGGGTATAGAAATCTATCTTACCCAACAAGACGCAGGAAGGGGAAAAGATAAGAGAAGGGAGAGGTTGATTAAAAAAAAAAAAGATTAAGAGAGGAAATGGTCAGAAGCAAAATATATTTTTGAGCAATCGACATTTTAAACAAAGCAAAAGCAAAAACAGACCTAATTAAAAGAAATAAGTAAGGAAACTACATTTTACTAAAAGGTACCATAGACAATGAAAGAATATCAATACTAAATATATATGCACAAAAGAGCTCAGCATCCAGATTATTAAAGGAAAAACTATATTAATGGGGACCTCAACTTTCCTCTCAGAGACAGATAAATCTAACCATAAAAAAAATAGGAAAGAAGTTTAGGAGATGAAAAGAATCTTAGAAAAGTTAGATATGATAAACTTCCAGAGAAAACTGAATGGGAATAGAAATGAGTATAACTTTTTCTCAGCTGTATGTGGTACTTTCACATACACACACCTTCACACAAACTGACCATGAATTAAAGCATAAAATTTTCACAAACAAATGAAGAAAAGCAAACATATTAAATATGCCCTTCTCAGAACAAAAGGCAATAAAAACTGAGTTCAGTAAAAAGCTAAAGGACTGTGGAAACATTAAAAATTAATTGAAAATTAAATAATCTAATCCTAAAGAATAAGTGCATCAAAGAATAAATCGTAGAAACAATCAATAATTGCATAAAATAATTGAATAAAATGACATCAATGAGGCAACAGATTAAAATTTAAAAGAACAGATCAATGAATTAAGCATGCAATTAAAAAAAAATACTAGAGGGGCAGGTAGGTGGTGCAGTAGATAGAGCACCAGACCTGGATTCAGGAAGACCTAAGTTCAATTCTGGACTCAGACATATAACACTTACCAGCTGTGTGCCCCTGGACAAGTCACTTAACCCCCATTGTCCAAACAAAACAAAACTAGAAAAAGAACAAATTAAAAATCCCCAATTCACCACCAAAAATGGAAATCTTGAAAATAAAGGCATTAATGAAACAAAGTTTTTTTTTTTAAAAAATGAACTAATAAATAAAATGAGGAGCTGCGTTTAGGAAAAAAAAACAATAAAATAAACTATTGGATAATTTGACTAAAAGAAAGAAGAAAGCCAAATTATCATTATCAAAAATGAAAAGAGAGAATGTGACACCAATGAAGATGAAATTAAAGCAATTTATCAGGAGCTATTTTGTCCAATCATACATCAATAAATCTGACAACCTAAGTGAAAAGGATGAATACTCATTAAAAAAAAAAGTTGACCAGATTTACAAAAGAGGAAACAGAATACCTAAATAATCCTATGTTAGAAAAAGAAATTGAACAAGCCATCAATATGCTCCTTATGAAAAAATCCCCAGGATTTCACAAGTGAATTCTACCAAACATTTAAAGAACAATTCATTTTAATACTATATAAGCTATTTAGAAAAATAGGCAAAAAAAAATCCTACCCAATTCCTTTTATGACACAAGGAAGAACAAAAACAGAGAAAGAAAACTATAGATCAATTTCCCTAATGAAAATTGAAGCAAAAATCTTAAATAAAATAATATCAAGGAGACTGCAGCAATATATTACAAAGATCATACATAATGACCAGGCGGAATTTATGCCAGGAATGCAGGGTTGGTTCAATATTAGTAAAACTATCAGCATAATTGACCACATCAATAACAAAAACAACAAAAATCATAGGATCATCTCAACAGATGCAGAAAAAGCTTTTGACAAAATACAATATTCTTGCCTGTTAGGAACACAAGAAACAACAGGAATAAATGATGAGTAGTATCTATCTAAAGCCAAGAGCAAGTATTATCTATAATGGGAATAAGACGTCTTCCCAATAAGATCAGAGGTGAAGCGGAGATATCCAATATCACTACTATTGTTCAATATTGCACTAGCAAAGCTAAGTACAACCACACGAAAAGGAAAAGAAGTTGAAGGAATTAGAACAGGCAATGAGGAAAAGAGAATCAACTAAAAAACTAGTTGAAACAATGAATAACTTTGGCAAAGTTTCAGGATATAAAATAAACTCATATAAATCATCACATATTACACAAAGTCCAGCAGCAAGAGAGAAAGAAAAATTCCATTTAAAAATAGAAAGAAAAATTTCATTTAAAAATAACTGCAGACAATATAAAATATTTGGGAGTCTATCTGACAAGACAAACCCAGGAACCACATGAACACAAAGTCAGATCTAAAAAACTGGAAAAAAATTAATTGCTCATGGATAGAAGCCAACATAATAAAAATGACAATTCAACCTAAATTAATCTATTTATTTAATGCCAAACCAATCAAACCATCAAAGATTATTTTATACAGCTAGAAAAAAA